GATGATCCATGTATAAAAAGAGTATTGGATTGGGTCCGTCGAAGTGAAAGACCTTCTTGGCAAGACATTAGTTCATGTAGTCCCGAAGTCAATTGTTACTGGAGCCAATGGAATTGCCTAGTGCTGAAAGATGATCTTCTGTATAGAACCTTTGAGAACGATGATGGTACAGAAACTAAGCTTCAGTTGATTGTACCTAAAAGTAAAGTGTCAGAAGTATTGCGTCAGTTGCATGACGGTGCATCAGGTGGACACTTTGGTATTACGAAGACTCTGCAAAAGGTTCGAGAACGGTTCTATTGGGTGAACTGTAAAGATGATGTAAGAAGATGGTGCCGGAAATGTGAACTGTGTGCAACCAGTAATGGTCCAGTTGGTAAAAAGAGGGCACCCATGAAACAGTACAATGTTGGTAGTCCTATGGAAAGAGTAGCAATCGACATTGCAGGTCCACTTCCAGAGACAAACGATGGAAATAAATATATCCTGGTAGCAATGGATTATTTTACAAAATGGACTGAGGCCTATGCGATACCAAATCAGGAAGCTGCTACCGTTGCAGAGGTACTTGTTAAAGAATTCTTTAGCCGATTTGGTGTTCCCTTGGAGATCCACTCCGACCAAGGGCGAAACTTCGAGTCGACCCTTTTCCAAAACGTTTGTAAATTGATTGGTGTCAATAAGACCAGAACGACACCCCTACATCCTCAATCAGATGGAATGGTCGAGAGAATGAACCGAACGATGGGTACACACCTGTCCAAAGTTGTATCAGAACATCAAAGAGATTGGGACCAGCACATTCATTTATTCCTAATGGCCTACCGCTCGGCCGTGAATGAAACTACCGGCCAGACTCCAACCTGCCTGATGTTAGGTCGTGAAGTTCGTTTGCCCTGCGACCTAGAGTTTGGCTCCAGACCTTCCGAAGAACATGTTGCAAGCGAAGATTATGTCGACCGTCTGAAGTTAAGAATGAACAACATTCATGAACTTACCCGACAACACATCCAGTTAGCCAGTGACAGAATGAAAGATCAATATGATTCTCGATGCAAAAATGAAAGCTATAAAGTAGGTGATCTTGTTTGGCTTTATAATCCACAACGTCGTCGTGGCTTGTCTCCTAAACTGCAAAGACAATGGAAGGGGCCGTATGAAATTAAAAAGAGAATAAATGACGTAATATACCGAATTAAAAAGTTACCGAAAGGTAAACCAAAAGTAGTTCACATAAATCGGCTGGCTCAAATGAAACAGAAGAAGCACGAATCCTTCAACATGAGATCAAAGATAAACGGCGACCAAGCTTTAAGGAGTTTATGTCAAATTACGCAGAGAGAAAGAATGCTAGATTCGGCGTGACGACAGAAGTTCAGCAGGATCTTTTTAGTGTTCCGCATAACGTCTCTCTAGCCACTGTGTTGCCCAAGATCTTGAGATGACTAAAGGAATCTCATCTGTATTTTATAAGAAGTTCGGTCGTTTGGACGAGTTAAAAAACCAGCAGCCTAAAGTTGGAAGAGTACTGAGATTAAAAGATGGTTCTCGATCTTTGCTGTATATGGTGACCAGGAAGTCGTATACAGACAGGGCAACCTACGAGGATATATGGTGTGCTCTAACTAATTTGAAGAAAATCGTCTGCAATTACGACATTAAGAATTTGGCCTTACCCAAGATAGGCCATGCACTAGATAATCTGGATTGGAAGATTGTCAGAAGCATGCTAGAAATGATCTTCCGAGAAACCGGTGTAAGAATTACCGTTGTGTTGCACTAATCCAAAGAGATTGTGTCCTTCAAAGACAGTAGACTGTTATTTCTTTCTGAGGGGTTCATGCAGAGCTGGAGAGTCCTGTAGATTCCGCCATTCTGGGCCTACATATAGAGTTGCTGATCGGGACGCTCAGATCTAAGAGGGGAGCAGTGTCACGAACGTGCATTTAACGAGGCACGTATAACGGTTGCATCTCGAAACAGCACCTCATGCTTCCATGCGGCGCGGGTGGCATCTCGAAAGCGACTCGATATTTCAAGAAAGATCTGTCGCGTTCGCCTAGAGGTGGGAACTTTCTAGAAAATAGTAACTTTAGTTATATATATATGTAACGATCTTAGGAATAAGTTTAGTTGTTAAGATATTACCGAACTGTAAAGTTATAAATAAATATATTCATATAAATTCGAACCGCTCGTTTTATTTAAAAACGGTACAATATACACAACAATTTTGAAAGTCGTAATTATTAGAATTAATATTAAAAAAATTGTACTTCCCTTGTAGCAGGAGAAACGGTGGTATTAATTCCTGTATCCATATCTTGTTCACTCACATTAACAACTTCAGACGTATTTAGTTCGCGCATTGCAGTCTTATTAGTATTCTCTCCCATCAGGGAAGAATATTTTCACTTTTTTATCACTATTTTACTACAATATATAAATATTTTTAAACGCGACAAAATTAAAATATTCTAATTGTCACAAAAACTGGGAGCTTAATGACTTTATCGATAAACACGTCTACCCGATATTAATGTATCGCTTTTACTGCCCTTAAATTTTAATTTAACAGAATGATGACTTTTCATAAGTGGTAGTTAACCGCTAAAAAACTACTAAGGTGTTAATAAACTTATAAAACCTAGCAGAGCACTGTGGTATATCATAAATGTTTTGTTTGGAATTCTACTAGTTTTTACCGTAAGCAAGTAAAATCGCTCCCCTTAAGGGTGTTTTTTTGGTGAAAAATTATTAGGGTGGTAATAAATTAGTGAAAAATGTGTAAAAGAACATGCCATTGGCAAAAAGATTTTTTTCTGAATTCTGCTAGCTTGAACATTCAGTCAGCATAATCGCTCCCATTAAGAGTGGTATGGTAGTGAAAAATTATTAGGGTGGTAATAAATTAGTGAAAAATGGGTGTGAAAAATATGCCATAGGCAAAAAGTTTTTTTTCCGAATTCTGCTAGCTTGAAACTTAAATCAGCAGAAACGCTCCCTTAAGGTTGGTTTGGTGGTTGAAAAATTATGTAGCGACAAGGTAATTACGAATAATTTTAACTTTTCTATTCAAAATTAAATATAGCAGATTATAGCAGACCTCATATTAAAATTTACAATTGGTTATACACATGTGAAATAAAATGACATAAAAATTGAAACGTGTTTCTTAATATGTTTGTTTTCTACATATATGCTGAACACTTTAATAATTATACATTTGGATACGTTGCATTTTTCATTAATGGAAACGAAATATGATATATTAAGCAATAATATCACAGGAAACCAGGCCGGTAATATTAAAGTTTATAGTCTGGCTTAAAAAAAAAGAGTGTGTGTTTAGTTTTAGTAATCAATAAGTCACAATTTGCATCGCTCCGCGATATATACAAAGATACCTTCCCTTCAAAAATTAATTACGTTTTAAGAAAATAAATACTATTAACAGTTTTTTCTATGTTTTATTTGATTTTAATATTATTTTTATTTTGTTTCCGTGGAATAGTATATTACTTTATGAGGCGGAGAAACATGACTTTTCTTGACGCGCCCGATATTACGCGCCGAATGAAGTGAGGCGCGTAATAGAGGGCAAGTCAAGAAAAGTCGCTTCTTTGCCGAATTAAGTATACTATTTTTTCTTCAAATGTAGCAATTTTCAACCATAAATAGTACAATTCATGCGCTATTTTTACTCGAAATTAACTGTGACAACTATCAAAGTCGTCTAGATGTTAGAAATTAAAATAATTAAGTCGTCGGTGGGATTTGCGTCTCCTGGTTACAGTTGTTTGACAGTTGTTTGCAATTATTAAAGACAGCTTATTGTTGTTGCAACCGCAAGCGCAAATTTAGTGCGAAAATGGAAAACCTAAACGAAATTAAGTCCGCGGCTAATTAAGCCGAAATTAAGTCCGATAAGAACGATAATGCTCAAAAAATTTTAAACCCTCATGATTCGCCAACATCGGGAATGATGGCTGAAAGTTGTCCTCGACCATCAGTATCATCAACAATTACCAATGCGTATCAAGAGTCGGGAACATTTTTGCACGGTTTCAATTTTGAAAATGCCTCATTAACTAATTGTACTTTTAATATTACTATAAATAAAAATGATGTTTAATTGTTGTTAATGACATTTGTATTGTTGCTTTGTGACATGTTTCATATTGTTGCCATGACAACATTTTTCCCTCCGCCGTAAAGAAATAGGAAAAAAAAACTGCTGCCGGCGGAGACATCAAACTTTGACAGGATATATTATCAAGTTAGATAAGTAATGTCATCATTATTTGACGTTTGAAGAAAAAATAAGTTTATTACACACGCATCCACACAACCACGGAAGGAATGTATTAAAATCACTTTTCCCTGTTATATTGTGGGCTAGATTTAATTATTTTAGGAAGTGGTGTCACTGGTACCTTAAGTACATAGCTAATTACCTTTTTCTCAGTAATTCAGCAGCTATACAACCTGAGACTGTTTAATAATTTTATAAACGTGGGGTATAAAATTATTAAACAAGCTCCCAAACAGGAATGTAGTATTCAGATCACATCAATTATCTATTTGTATGGTTACAAGAAAGTAATTTAGTTGCATTCGAGAAGAAAGTTAGTTTGAAAATCGATCAAAAATTACACATATATGTCCTTCTAATATCAAAGTAAAAAATACATGCTCTGTCCAATCTCATTATAAAATAAACAGAGAGTTAAGGAAGGCTGCTTGCTCTAATATGCTAGAGGGCAAAATGATATAAAAAAAGCATTAAATAGGAAAATTGGGATTTGGGTTTGATACAATTATTATTTTAAATAATATGCTAATTACAAATTTAAAAATAAAGAATAAATAACAAAAAAAATTAACTTAAACCTTATATTTCAAAAAATTTTCTTACCTTAATAAGCTGAAAAATGGATAGACATATGACCACAGTACTTACAAGCAGTTGTGAAAAAAATGTCAACGAATAAAGCTTTTCAATCTCCTTTACGTACCTGAAATAATTTTATGTTTTATTAAATACATGAATAATTTCAAGTTAAGTTTGCAAGTTTTATTGTATAAACGAAATAGAGCGAATAAAATTGCGTAATTTTGTTGATAAATGATTATTCCTGTCATCTTTTGTAGGTATAAAATAAATGTATATGTATAGTAATATATTTTTGTATACAATTATTGTTTCTATGTACAGTCTATTACACTATGTTTGTATGTGTGTCTGTTATATATACTGTGTGTATGTCATATATACCGTTTGTCATATATACCGTATGTTCGGACAGGCATCGGCTATAAGTACCAATATATTTTGCTTAATTTTTATCAGTAAAACATATAAGCACTCATCCATGTCTTTATAGTGGTTTTGGGAGTGTTTGGAGAACGTGAAGTAACGGATTCACAACGTGCCCGTCGTGGGTCTCTTTAATCTTTTACCACAGAATACTCCATCCCAACAAGAAGCGAAACGCAGGGCTTTTTCGCAATCCAAATTTCTTTGCGCATGTGCGAAATCCGCCATGTTTTAATGTCATGTTTGTTTATGTATTGAGAAGTGTTTGGTGTTTGCTTTTTAATAATTAGTATAATTAATTTAGTTAGTTATTTAGGTAGTATTTTAGTTTTAGTTAGTTATTTAGTTAGTTAGTTAATTTAATATATTTGTGTAATAAACTTATTGTTCGATGTAATAAACATCGAAAACTGATGAAGGAATTAGTCTCTTTTCAATACCGACTGATCGTAGCAGGTAAACAAATTAAATTTTAAATTCAAACGTGTTAACAATGTCTGAATGTTTATATTTTAGTTAAATACACTTTTTTTAGAGCTGAATTATGGCTGAAAGCAGTCATAATTATAAAATGTACGAGAAACATTTTGAACCGGTGTACATGTCCAAAGAAAACACATATAGACTCTAATACTCTAACGGTACTCGAACCCCGTGAATAATCATCTGTTCCCGACATCGGCGACCGACGGTCGAAAGGTAAAGCCCTGTCTGTATGTTAGCAACACTCGCGGAAGAAACATGCTGCTTTAATA